TTACAACAATGACACCACTAAGAAGCTGACCCTCAAGAAAATTACCTTCTATAAGATTACCTTTGGATGGGGAGGCTTGAGTCTTTGTTGCTTGGCGGCCAGCTTCTTGGTGATCATTTTAGCTCGGGCAACTTCCACGGCATTGGAGCCAGCCACTGGTCCCATGTCATTTCGCCCTTTAGGACCATTGTCACAAAATTTTCTATGGTGTATTCTAGAACTGAGAGTTGACGTCATGTTAGTATTGCCCTGGCCGGGCACAGTTCTTTCGGCAAAGACTTTGTATTTTCCTCTGATTTATTTTTCGGCTTGGTTTGAATTCCCCAGCCATCGAAGCAAGGGCAAATCACAAACTGCTTTTTCTAGTCCTTGATTTTGTTTTAAACTCCGAGCAGTTGGAGTTTCTTTCTGGCAGAGAACATAATGAACCCATCCTTATCAACCTTGAAGGAGAAGAAGTGATTGAACCAATTGGTTGGGTAAGGAATTGCTTCCTTTCGGCAGTAATCGTGTTTTTTATTTTCAATGCCATTTTTTGTTGTCAATTATCATTATTTTTTTTTTAATATAAACCTTAGTCAAAACAAGCAATATATGGTTTAGAATGAGCAGTAGTGGCCCAATCAATCTTTGAAGACATGCATAATAAAGAAACAGTCATATCGAGTAAGTCTGTCAAAATGACTCTTTGTTCCTCAAAACCTCATGTTCAACTCATTAAATAACTCGTGTTTGGCTTGTTAAATAGCTTGTGTCGTTCTCTAGGTTAACTAGTTGAACACTGACACTTTTTTAGCGCTTCATATATAAATGAGCCGAACATGAATAAAAATTTGTTCGTTCGTTTTCGACTCGTTTTAGCTCGAAATCCTACTCATCAATTATATATTTATATTTGTATATGATTATTATTTTAAAAAAATTTAATTGACAACAAGCTTACAAAGATTTATAAGCAATTAAAAAAATTAATTTTAAAATATAAGAAAAGATAAGTGTATAGTTTATTTCATTTATGTAATTTACCTTCAAAATCTATTGGGTGAGTTTAAATCAGCATTCCCAACAAAGAGACATAGGCACAAGCAATCCATTATATATATATATATAATGAACTCTTGTGCTCCAATTGTTAGTAGGAAGAAGTTGACATTGCATCAATAAATGTGCTCACAATTCAAGTTACCTTGCCCTAGAGAACTAACCACATAAAGCAAACCAAATCATCCTAGCAGCTTGTGTCGTGATTTTGTCCAATAGTGTAATTTCTCAGAATATCAGCTATTATTGAGTGAGATAAAACCTTCAATTTGTATCGTAATTTGATATTTTTTTACATATATTATTTTAAGCCATATGTCCTGTGCAGGAAAAGCTCTTAGGAGCAGCAGATTGAAATATTTTGAAAGTTGAAGTGACTGTATAGCCATTATGGGAACTCGATAACCTGACCAGACAATTAACTTGCTTCAAATTCAAATTTTAAATGAGAGACTGAGAATTATGGACGGTGAGGAGGTGCTTACAAGGTTTTAATAAAGTAACAAATAATATTTGGTTGGGAGATATATTGTAAGGGTATCAATTCGTGTCATCGGCTCGGGGTTCGGGTTTGACCTGAAATTGACCATACCCGAATAGGACTTACGTGAATCCAACCTGAATATTATTCGTGAAAAAAAACCAATCTAAACCCCTTTCAACCCGCCAATCCGAATCTAACTCTTCTAATACTTTTTTTTTTATAAGAAATAGTAGCTATTTGGATTAAAATTAGATCAATTTTGGGATAATTTTGAGTCAATTTTCGGGTTAGCGAGCTAATTTCAAGTCAATTTAGGGTTGACGAGTCAGATCTTTAACCCAAACCCAACTCAAACCCTAGTTCTTTAAGTCAGTTTGGGTCAATTTGGCGAGTCAGGATATTGTCCAGTGTGTGTGTGAGTGTGCCACTTGGCTTAAAAAAGAGTGGAAGTGCAATGAAGAGAAGACAAACAGAGACTTCTTTAGAAAAATTAATGAAGGAGTGTAATGAAGAATGCCTGGGCATTCATTTCTATTTGTCTTCCTATATCTTTATATTATACTTTTGTAATTGTTTGTTTGAAATAAAAAGATTCCCATGTATTTTGTTTAAGAGCATGACAGGCTAAGCCCATTGTCTTTGTGCTTATAAATTATCAGTTGAATTTTATATAATTTTGAGTTTTTGTGGTTGAATTGTTGAAATATTTGTTTACATTTTTTCATCATAATTTAACATGTGTAATGGCTATATATTTGTTAAAAATTAATTGTGATTTTGATATATCAAATGAGTCCAAATGAGCCAAAAGAGTGAAGTGATTAGGGTTTGGTAAAATAGATATGTATCCACTAAACTTTAGTAATCAAATAGAGAGACCATAAATTCAATTATATTATTTATGAGTGCATATTTATTGTATTTTGGGATATTGGATTATTACTCTTAATTGACAATCACCATGTTTAAATTTCATGATTTATGCTCTTTTAATTGATAATTTGCAATTCCAAACACGTGCAGTCGTTTTATTATTTTCATTTTAAAACTTTCGTAGAAAATTTAAACAATTTTTTAGCATTGAATAGAATTATGGTTTGTAAATTGGTATTTAACTTCTTCACTATGAATTGATCATTCTAGGAACAATTTTGGCCTCAAACCACTTATATTAGTTGAATAATGTGTGCACTTATGAGAACCATATGCAAGTCGAGTCACCAATAATAACAATGTTTCTGCACGAGCATGCTTGACTTTGGCGTTTATGATGAAATTCAAACTGGTGCACCAGAAACATGTCAATATTTAAGATTTCATCTTCATTATACCATAAAAGTTTCACGCTCTCTCCAACTGAAGTAACTAATATCATCACAAGTTCTCATAACTCATAATCATTCACCATACATATGAGATTCTAGAGGTGCTCCATACAAATTGAATAGGTGGCAATCAACATGTAGCATTTTGTCCCATTTAGGGTTTAAGAGGTGCCTCTCGTGAAGCAACATTTTATTTTCTATGAAGCTTAGTTCCCAGCTTTGGGTTTATTTAATGCTATGATATCATCTGTAGCATCTTAAACTCTAATCTATTTTGACCTAATGACCACATACTTTTGTCATATTGGCGTAACTTCCTAGGAGGTCAACAATCATAAGAATACTCCCGCACGAGCATGCTTAACTTTGGAGATTCTGATAAAATTTTAGCCATTGGAAAAAAAAATCCTCGATATTAAATAGTCTGATTGTAATCAATTTAAAGCGTTTCGAATACTAATTGACATGACTCATCCAAAGCCTTCAACGTATCCATATGCTAGAACTAACAAAAAGCCCGAGCTAGTAAACGATTTAATAGACGTCCGCTAATATTTGAAATATCTTAATACATCGTTAATAAATTTAAGAGCTCCAATTGATATATTCTCTTTTTATGATAAGCAATTACTAAGAAACATTATATAATTTGCTCATTTACTTTAAATATATTGTTCCCTATGGAGTGATATATTAAACAAGTAGTCCCACTATAAATTTCACACATAAATCATAATCTCATTTTATGAAAATAAAAAAATTGCATTGTGTTATTTTCTATGTTTTTTCTCTTTTCTTCTTAATCAATTTTGTGAATAATGTTGATTTGTTAATCATGGATAAATTTAAATTCAACACTTAAAAACTTTTTAAATTTAATTTAAATTTAGGGACATTTATATACATACCTCCCAATTCTTACATATTTATATATGTGACACTTAAACTTTATTTTTTACATTTATACCATTCAAATATTTTTATATCACATCACATATATCATTATATTAACTTTTAAAAGGTGAAATACAAATAATTATATACATATAAGTTATCATATATGTAAAAATAGTACTTTGGGTGTTAAATATGTAAATATATAAGAATCAAGTGACATGTATGTGAATCCTCAAATTTAATTTGTTACCTTTCAAAAGAATCAGAAAGAACCTTCAAGGATATGATTATTATGATGTTTATATGATATTAAGATGAGAAATAATTAGCTGTGAATAAAAAGTTGTAAAATATACAGTCAGTTAAAAATATGAACATAATTGTGTATAATTAGTATTAATTCGTCATCAATAAATTTTTATGATTATGCATGAATCTCGATGTATATTGAGTGAAAAATATTTCAAATTCAAAGTTATATGAGACCCGATTCAATAAGTTTATCTTCTACCGAGTGTCTCAAAAAGACGAATTCTATGTTGATAAAAGCAATCCAATTCAAGTTCAAATAAGCTAAGATAGAACATCCGAAGTGCAGTACAACACTATTATACATCATTTAAAAGGCTTAACGATATCAAAATTTGATTTGTTTATATAATCAAATTGAGTGACTCTATGAGAGAAATTCAAAGAGTCTAAGAATAGTTAATTTCAAGATCATCGAGTTACCTGAACATTGAAGAAAATACTTGTGATCAAAAGAATTAACGCGGATCGAATGATAAAATGTTTTGTGATCACATTTAAATTTACTGAAATGCCACTCTATGATTTCATATATATATATATACAAAATTTCACTTAGAGGGGTGGAGAAAAGAGATAAATAGAGTGAACTAACTACTAAAGCTTTACACTTAATACTTGATTGATATGACAATCACCTGAGTTTGCCGCAGTCAATTAATTACAATCATCAATTAGCACCAACAATGGCTAAAACTAACAACTTTGCAGTCAAATACAATCATTATAACCTCCAACTATAACTTTTATGACCAACTGCTCCTATTACAATCAAATAATAATTATAAAATTGTGATTTTAAATTTCTGTAAGCTCATATTTCTGTGCTGAAAAATCGTATTGTGCTGACACTATGGTTGAGAATTTTTTTTTAATAAGCCACAAGTATGGGCACACCTGCATCTGCTAGTGTTAGAGAGCGGCGCTCTTCGTTGCGGCGGGCGAACACTGACTCATGAATGTCCCGCGAGGAGGCGGGAACAAAAGCACCCGTTGTCCCGCCTAATGAATTTCCTTTCCCTCCATCCTCATGAAAGCGCTCGTTTTTCTCCCAAAAATGTGATAGAATTTGCCGCTCGTGAAAAATTTTCTTTTTTTCTCCTCCAAATCCCGTATCCCACAAATTCCCTCTCAAAACCCTTCCTCTCTGCGCAAAAAACCCTCGTCTACTTCACTCCAGCTCTACCGGCTTCATAGTTTCGCCCTAAACTCTCTCCTTCGGGACCGAAAGCTCACGATACAGCTGCGATTAGAGATAACTGGGAAGGCAACGACGGGATCGCGGTGTACAGAGACCTGAAATTCCTATCTTTCTTCTCCTCCCGCTCTGTTCCTACAGAAAAGGTAGCTTCACATCTTCCTTTTCGTGCGAAAGCCCCCGTCCCGGATTTATTAAATCTTCCGATTCACGGCATTTAGTAAATCTGGAATTTAAGACTAAAATCCGTATTTACAGAATCCGCGGCTTTATTTTGTCCAGAATGACCGTCTGACAAGATTTAGGTTAAATCTTGCTCTAAATCCGGTACCAGACATGCCCAAAGTCAGGATTGAAGCTCGCTGTTGAAGGCAGCGAAGAGACCAGCTGCGCGCGAAGGCTGCGAGGAATTCAATGCCTGGAATTAATAAATCCGAGATTCAAGGTAAAGTGTGGGGAAACAAGATTTAAGATTCTGTAGGGTTTAGAGGTGTCATTTCTGCTGTTTTTCAGCAGGGTTTAAGTAAAATTTATATTTCCCAATTCCTGATGCCAAACAGCAAGAGATGAATGTAGATGTTAGCTGGGTCTCAACCAGTCAATGATGCAATATTATAGTTAGTATAATGATTGCAAATATCCATAATAAAATATAAATGTCTTCTCTGCCAGTCAGCCTGGTACCGCATAGCCGGGCTAGTTTAACAATTATCAATGTCATAATGCACCAAAATAAATATTTACATATGGTTAATGACTTGATCATGATTACAACTGTTTCTTATAGTTTTCATTTTGCATAACAAAAGTATTATTATTATTATTTATGTGCTGTCAGTCATCTCTCTAAACAATTTTGATCGTCTTATAATTCCCATCAATGATATAACTTTATTTTTGTGCATAGTGATGAACAGGAAGACCACTTCCAAATGCTCAACGAAAAAGAGCAAGAGGAAGGTGGCCGTGGAAGAAGCTCATGGTGTGAAGGATTCAAAAGAAAATGGCCACATCATAAATTGTGCCGAAGAGCCTGTTATCCGAAAAAGGCCCAAGCGGTCAGCTTCATGTTTAAATTTTAAAGAGAAGAATGTTAGGTTATCCGATAGGTTTTCTGTTGTTGAAACAAAAGAGATTAGGGTTGTGGAAGAAGAGAAAGATGCTGTTGAGCTCACCATACTTGGTGCAGAAGATCTGCCACCATGCAGAAAACTTGTTGATTTTGTTTTTCATGATACTGATGGAAAGCCCCAACCTTTCGAAGTATGTGAATTCGATGATATTTATATTACTTCTGTTATCATGCCCATGGATGATAATTTGGAAAAAGAGAAGGAAAAGGGGGTTAAGTGTGAAGGGTTTGGCCGAATTGAAAGTTGGTCAATATCTGGTTATGATGAGGGCTCCCCCATTGTTTGGGTTATGACTGAAATTGCAGAGTATGAATGCGTGAAGCCTGCTAGCAGTTATAAAAGGTTTTTTAACCATTTCAATGAAAAGGCTCGCATTTGTATTGAAGTTTACAAAATTTTAAATAAATCTACTGGTAGGAATCCAGATTTGAGCCTCGAGGAATTGCTCGCGGGAGTAATTCGTTCGATCAGTGGAACCACTGGCCCCAGTGGTGTTGTTAATAGAGATTTAATTATATCTCTTGGTGAATTCATATACAATCAGCTGATTGGATTGGATGAAACACCAGAAGGAAGTAATGCTAGTTTAGCCAAAAGATCAGCACTTTGTGCTCTTAGAGATGAATGTAGAAGTAGAGGAGGATTAAGAGAAAAGATTGATGGAACCTTGAAGATTGACGGCAGAAAAAGTCTGTTAATTGATGAGGATGAAGATGAGAAATTGGCACGGCTACTCCAAGAGGAGGAAAATTGGAATCTGATGAAGCAGCAGAGGGGTTCACAGTCAAGAAATTCTAACATTTATATCAAGATCAGTGAGGCAGAGATTGCAAATGATTATCCTTTGCCTGCATATTACAAACCCGCCGTTGATGAAATGGATGAGTACATATTCTTTGATACTGAATCTAGCATCCACTATGTTGATCTTCCGAGGAGGATTCTTACTAACTGGTCACTGTACAATTCGGACTCGAGGCTTATTTCCTTGGAACTTCTGCCAATGAAACCCTGTGCAGAAACTGATGTATTGGTTTTTGGATCTGGAAATATGCGGGAAGATGACGGTAGTGGGTTCTGTATGGAGCTTGATGTAGGTGGGTCTTCTTCTAGCATTACTGATTGTGCAAACTCTGAAGGTGTTCCTGTTTATCTTAGCTCAATCAAGGAATGGATGATAGAATTTGGCTCTTCCATGATTTTCATTTCCGTTCGAACAGATGTTGCATGGTTGGAATCCCACTCTCCGTTCTTTTTAATTTATTTACTCTGAGAAAAATTCATTTTATTGAATGATTAAATTATTATGTTGCAGGTACAGACTTGGGAAGCCAGCTAAACAATATGCTCCATGGTATGAGCCAGTTCTGAAAACTGCGAGCCTGGCAATTAGTATAATTACTTTGCTGAAAGAACAGACTAGAGCTTCAAAACTATCTTTTGCAGATGTGATTAAAAAGATCACAGAGTTTGAAAGGGAAGATCCTGCTTACATTTCTTCAAATATTGCTGCCGTGGAAAGATATGTGGTGGTTCACGGACAGATTATTCTTCAACAGTTTGCAGAGTATCCTGATAAAACAATTAAAAAATGCTCTTTTGTAACCAGTCTATCAGCTAAAATGGAGGAGAGGCTCCATACAAAACTGGCGATGAAGAAAAAGTTGGTTGTGCAAAAAGAAGATAATTTGAATCCAAGTGCTGCAATGAGGCCGCTCATCTCCAAAAGAAAGGTGATGCGTGCTACAACAACAAGGCTTATCAATAGGATTTGGGGAGATTATTACTCCAGTCATTTTCCTGATGAATTCAAGGAGGAGGTTGAAAATGTGTTGAAGGATGAAGAAGTTGAGGATGAGCAGGAGGAGAATGAAGAGGAGGAAATTGAAGAACAGCGCTGTGTGGTCCAAGAGATAGATTCAAAAAGTTTTCTTTCTAAAAGTTTTCATGATTCTAAGTCTAACGGGGAGGAAATTAGATGGGAGGGGGATCCAATTGGTAAAAAAGATTCTGGTGAAGTTTTGTATAAACGTGCCATTGTTCATGGAGAGAAAATTTCTGTTGGTGGAGTTGTGGTTATTGATGGTCTTCAGCCAAGCAAAGTTCCAACTTTGTTTTTCGTGGAATTCTTATACATGCGGAGTGATGGAGTGAAGATGGCCCATGGGAGGATAATGTTAAGAGGGGTTCAAACTATTTTGGGGAATGCAGCAAATGAGAGGGAAGTCTTTTTGACGAATAACTGTAATGATTTTGCTCTAGAAGACATGAAAGAGGCAGTACATGTGGATATCCGTTTAATATCATGGGGATACCAATATAGAAAGGAGTTTGCTGAGGCTGCTAAGATTGACAGAATGAAGGCTGAGGAGAAGAAGAAAAAAGGACTTCCAATGGATTTTTTCTGCAAAAGCTTATATTGTCCAGAGAGAGGAGCTTTTTTCGCTCTTCCTTATGATAGTTTAGGATTGGGATCTGGCTTCTGCAGCTCTTGTAGAGGAAGAGAGAACAAGGAGTGTCAGGTCAAAGCTAGCTCGAAGGAAACCTTTATCTTTAAGAAAACTGAATACTATATTCATGAATTCATATATGTGAATCCTTATTGTTTTGTTGAAGAGGATAAGGAGCATGAGACATTTAAGGCTAGCAGGAATATTGGACTTATGGCATATGTTGTCTGCCAAATATTGGAAATTTCTTTTCATGAAGGTGCTAAAAATTCAACTCAACATGTTAAAGTCAGAAGATTCTATAGACCGGAAGATATTTCAGCAGCCAAAGCATATACTGCAGATATTAGAGAAGTACTTCTTTTGCACAAATTCCCTATTAAAAAAATTGGTCACGATGCAATGTGTTGTTTGTTTACGTAATTTCATGTGTTGTTTGTTTACGTAATTTCATGTGCTAGGATTGCAGATGAATTAAGCTGGGTCGAGCAGCGTAAGAGCTTTTTTGAGCTCTAGACTTTTGATGAAAGCCATGGTCAAGCTCGGCTCGAGCTTGATTCATATTGGGATTATTGAGCTAGCTAAAGAATACATTATTTAACAAATTAAATGAGGCTTAATAAAAAATGATATTATTTATGAATGGGCTTGAATAAAATCTTAATCGAGCTTTTTAACTAGTTTGCTTATAAATTTTGAATGTATTATTCATGATTGTAAATGAATTGAGTAGTAACTTGTGCGAAACAATCTAGCAGTTACGAGTGTTGAAGTTTGTTTGATTAGTTAATCAAATGACCATGAAGAGTTCTAATTGAGTCTAATCACAAGTAATTTGTTGATGCTGGGTTCATTTGCTCTTCTGACAAATATAATGTCAAATTTCCAATCTTCCATTTTAGGACTTCATTTATTTTGATCTGGTTTCCAATTGTAAACTAGTTTATGATTAACACCTCCCCACTGTAAAAAATAAAACAGGTTTACTACAGCGAAGATTTGCATGAGGTACCCATAGATATGATACAAGGGAAATGCAGTGTCATAAAGAAAAATAACTTGCCTAGTTTGGATCTCCCTGTAATTATGGATCATATTTTCTTTTGTGAATGCTTTTATGACCCTACCCAAGGTTCTCTAAAGCAGGTACAATTCTCCAAAGCTTTATCTTACTATCACTGTTTGATTTATATTGCTATCTTTAATGAAGTTTCTCTGTACGTAGTTGCCTTCTAATAGCAAGCTTTGGGCCACAATTAGAAGCACGCTTAATCCCTGCAAAATGAAGAAGGGTAAAGAAAAATGTGAAGAAGGGCAACAAACGGAAAGAAATATGTGGAAGGAGTTGCCTCAGGAAAATCGTTTGGCCACTCTAGATATTTTTGCTGGCTGTGGTGGTTTATCTGAAGGACTTCAGCAGTCTGGTAACCTTTTTTTTTCTTTGGGAAATTTACATACTTACCACACAATTCTTATGCATATATGTCTAGCATCTAAACTTTACTTTTTACATTTATACCACCAATATCTTTCATATTACATTAAAATATCACTATTTTCGCTTTAAAAGGTGAATACACATTTTCATGTATATGTGAAGTGGCATCTATGTAGAAAATGAAGTTTAGGTGTTAGATATGTAAATATGTATGAGTTGAGTGGTTTGTTTGTAAATTTTCCTTCTTTGTTAAGGAAATTTACATAGCACCAATTTTTGTGTATTTTCATATTTAACATCTTAACTTTTATATTTTTATTTATAACTATTTGGTGTCATAAATTTATGCATGAAAACGTGTATTTTGTTTTTAAAAAGCAAACAATAGTGGTATTTTTGATGCGATGTTATAGATTTGGATGCTATGTATAAAAATATGAAAGTTTGGGGCAATGCTTAAAATTGAATAATTGGGTATTGTGATTTTTTTCTTTCGTGAGGCGAGCCTTAAAATTCAAGAAGTTTTAAAACTCAAGCCTCAAAGTTAAAAAAATTGCCTAAATTAATAATTGTATAAACTATAATCTGTGAAGTAAGAAATAACATATTAATATTTTAATTTATTAACACATTAAAAGGTTAATATAACAAAATTCTAACTAAGTAAAAAATAATAATTATATAAAATTAGAAGTAACACATTTTATGAAATAAAATGTGTTATACATATTGATACGCCACCAACAAATCATCATA